TAAACTGAGCAAAGCGAGTGGGAGCACCACGGAAACAGAAACCAATGTTGCCGGCTTTAAGTGAGCTCATCAGTCTCCAGTTGGGCTAAGAGGAGAAAGAGTGTTCCCGGGAGAGGAAACACAGGGGCTGAAGGCCCAGAAGCCATAAGCAGGAGCCGCAGGGAGAACTACAAGTCAGTCTCCCTGGTTGGCACAGGGCTCGGGCAGAGGCGAGAAGTGAGGCCAAACCACAAAGGGTTTGTAAGCCTCGCTGAGGTGTCGAGCTTGATCCTCAGGGTAATGGGAAATCATTAAAGAGTCTGAAGTAGGGAGTGAAACAGTCAGATCTGCATCTAAACAGAAACTTCACAGCAGCTACAGGTGTATCTTGGGATGCAGAACTGCATCCTTAACCTAAATCCTTACATTCCCTCCCAGATGACCACACACTGTGCTTCCAGCTCTCCTCATGGAATTCCTAAGTGGGTACAAAATGCAAGTGCTTCAGCAGAAATCTGCTCCTTGACCCCTACACTGGGTTGAATGATGCCCCACCAAAAAGATGTAGGCATGTCCAAGCCCCTGAAGCTATGAGTGTTACCTTATTTTGAAAAGGGGTCTTTGCAGATGTAATTAAGGATCTTAAGATGAGATCATCCTGGATTACCTGGGTGGGCCCTACATGCAGTGGTAAGTGTCCTTTTAAGAGACAGAGGAGGAGGAGGCCATGTGACCACGGTGGCAGAAATGGGTATGATGCCTAGGAAGCCAAGGATTGTTGGCCGCCACCAGAGACTAGAAGAGGCAAGGCAAGATCCTCCCCTAAAGTCTCAGAGGAGATGCAGCCTACTGATGCCTTGATCTGACTTCTGCCTTCCGGAAGTGTGAGAGAATACAGTTCCATTGTTTCCAGCTACTCATTTTGTGGTAATTTGTTTCAGCAGTCCTGGGACACTAATACAACCCCATACTCTCACTAAGAAGCTTCCAGGACCCTTCGCCATTTGGTGGACCCTTCTGAACCAGATAACTTCCTGTCTGTTTAGAAGCTGTAATTGTGACAGAGGCAAAGAGCCAGACTATATCATCTGTGGATCTCCTTCTCTGTACTGTTTGGCATTAAAAGGCCACCTTTGCCCAAACCAAGAAAGTATGTAACCAGAATGAAACAATGGACAGATCAGAGGAGCTGGGTCTTTGGCCAAGGCCAGAAGACTCTAAGAGGGAAATGCTGGCAGGACTCTGCAGGGATTAATGGTTTGGAAAGAGAGGAGGACAGTGAGTGCTCTATGGTGGTGGCCACAGAAATGACAGGGATGGTTGTCGTCTAAATAGATTCCAGATTCCTAGCTTCAAGTTCGAAAGCACCTGGTGGTTTTGGGAACTGGTGTTCCGGAACACACAGCCTGACCTTTAGGGTGCGTTCACTAAGACACCACTCATCAAGAGTTTCTTAAAGTACCCACTACATGCTTGCTTTGTTTGGCACTGCACCCAGCTAGGCACTTCGAAGGGTACAGTAAATGTCTGCATTTCTGGACAATAAGATTCCAGCCTGGGCCAGGTGCAGTGGCTCACACCTGTAGTCCCAGCACTTTGGGAGGCCAAGATGGGTGGATCACCTGAGGTCAGGAGTTCGAGACCAGCTTGGCCAACATGGCAAAACCCCATCTCTACTAAAAATACAAAAAAAATAGCTGGGCATGGTGACACGGCCTGTCATCCCAGCTACTTAGGAGACTGAGGCAGGAGAACCTCCTGAACCCGGGAGGCAGAGGTTGCAGTGAGCTGAGATTGCACCACTGCACTCCAGCCTGGGCAACAGAGCAGGACCCCATCTCAAGAAAAAAAAAAAGATTCCAGACTATCTCTGAAAGCATCAGTAATCGACCTTTGGGTATGTGATAAGTGTCTCTTCCTGGAAAAATCCTTATCCAACCCTGTAGACAGCCAGGGTTCTCAAAAAAATATAAGCTTCTTTTTTGGAAGATTGGTCAATGTTGTAATGTTATAGGCTTCCCTTCAACATCTTCAGCCTCACAGGAACTAGCCTGGTCCTTGATTCACTGTAGGTATCTAATAAGGAGTTGATGACTTTAACAGGCCAGTTCTCAGGCCCATCTGGGTTTTCAGAGGGCACCTGCAGAAGGTTCTTATCTTGTTGGGAGAAAGGTTTCAGCAGGTAGTTTCAAGCACTCTGAGGGCACTGACAGCCAGGGGCCCAGGTTTCATCCCAAGACAAGGAAATAGGACAAAGAGAAAAGGCCCAGGACAAAAAGAAGGCTGTGGGTGGGAGGGAGGGAGAGATGAGAGAGGGTGTCAAGGCTAAACTCAGCATTGCTAGAGGCCACAATTTTATAACTCTCCTCCACTAAGCTTGTGCCAATTGTCTTAAGTCCCGGCTAAGAGGGCATCCTACACCTCCTTCCTTGTAACTCTTTCTCTCTCCCTTCCCTCCCATTCCCAAACATTTTAATTTAACTGCAAATAGCACCCACATGAGCTGGACTCAAAGGCATCCAGAAACTCATCAAGCACAAAGGGGCATTGGACTCAGCACAAATCCTGCCCCCTGTTGAAGGTCTCTGTTTATATCAAACAGAAGAGTGTTTTACTGAGAAAGGTGGTAAATCTGGGTAGCAGACTCTTTAACAGACCTCTCCTGTAAAATAGAGAAATACTGGTGGGCATCTGAAATGGGAAGAAATGAGAGCACGCATGTAGGGCACGAAGCTCAGTGCTCGGCCGTGGTCACAGTACTAGTGGTCTTGGGGCTAGCCTTGGAACTGTAACTGCTATTTCAATTTTTTTTCTTTTTTAGATGGAGTCTTGCTCTGTTGCCCAGGCTGGAGTACAATGGTGTGATCTCGGCTCACTGCAACCTCCGCCTTCTGGGTTCAAGCTATTTTCCTGCCTCAGCCTCCCGATTAGCTAGGATTACAGGCACGTGCTACCACACCCAGCGAATTTTTGGATTTTTAGTAGAGATGGGGTTTCACTATGTTGGCCAGGCTGGTCTCGAACTCCTAACCTCAGGTGATCCACACGCTTCGGCCTCCCAAAGTGCTGAGATTTAGGCGTGAGCCACCATGCCTGGCCAGTGCTTTAATTTTTAAAAACCTGTCTCCTCTAATCTGCTGTGTGAGGAATCGTTCACTCCCGTTTCCCCTGTTTCCCTCTGTTAGTTGTACCAGGGCAGTGTAAACATTGCAGCCTTCTTAGATAAGCACCCAGGAAGACCAGGGAAGGCTACGGTCATGTACTCACTGTCAGTAAACATTAGGCTTTCACAACCTCCGGGCAGACTTCAGAAGATGTGGCCGAAGTGCTTAGTGTTACCTCTCCTGTGGCATTTCTCTCAACAGTGTTGTTAGTGCCCTTTGGATTGGGTGAGGGAGGGGCGGAGGAGGTGAGGAAGCAAAGTGTCAGGAAAGGCAGGCACCCACTGAGTAGAGTGGGGAAGTAACTGGCACTTTGGGAGGCTGAGGCAGGTGGAAAACCTGAGGTCAGGGGTTCGAGACCAGCCTGACCAACATAGGAAACCTCGTCTCTACTAAAAATACAAAAATTAGCCAAGAGCGGTGTCATGTACCTGTCATCCCAGCTACCTGGGTAGCTGAGGCAGGAGAATCACTTGAACCTGGGAGATGGAGGTTGCAGTGAGCTGAGATCGCACCACTGGACTCCAGCCTGGGTGACAGAGCAAGATTCCGTCTAAAAAAAGCCGGGGTGTGGGGGGAGTCTCGGCCTCTCTCAGTCTTCTCGCAAGCAAGGGACTTGCCTCTTGCTTCTTCTCTGAAGCTCCATAAAGGAGACCCTGTTTCACTTTGCTTGCCTCTTTCTTTCTATAAAATCTTGTTTTAATGGAACTACCTTATACATTTGTTTATGCTAACATGTAAATGACTGCTGGATATTTATACTAGCTCATTTTCAAAAGGGAAAAAGCTTTCAGTCAAAGAAATGAAAACCAAGTGAGTGAGGGAGGCAGAGGGCCTTCCCAATGATTTAGAAAGCTCACCGCCTACTCCATCCAGAAAAGCAGTGGGTGTTCTATAACCCAGCTGCGACAGGTGGCCCAGGCCATTTGTGTTTGCTGAAATGACTGAGCGATTTCAAGACACGGTCTCACTCTGTCACCCAGAGTACAGTGGTGCAATCATAGCTCACTGCAACCTCCAACTCCTGGGCTCATGTGATCCTCCCGATTCAGGCTCCCCAGTATCTGGAATTATAGGCATGTGCCACCATGCCTGGCTAACTTTTTTTTTCTTTTGGAGAGATGGTGATCTCTGTATGTTGCCCAGGCTGGTCTCAAACTCCTGGGCTCAAGTAATCCTCCTACCTCAGCCTCTCAAAGTGCTGGGATTATAGGTGTGAGCCACCACGCCCGGCCTGACTGAGCAATTTATGAATCCTCCATCCTCTTCCTGGAAGTAGGAAAGTGGGCAGTGGCTTGGTGGTGGTGGGAGGCAGGGAAGCTCAATGGAGCAGAGGTACATAAAGGGGGAGAGATTACTCCCTCCAAATGCACTTCTCAGAAAAAGCAGGGCTGCCAGAGAGGAGTGCAGAGCTATTTCTTTGAAACAGGGCTTTCAATGTAATACAAAGTAAAGGGCTCTGGCCTTCTATGTCTTTGGGGGTCCCTCCTGCCCCATGAGATGTCCCAAGTCATGGCCGATGTTTCCAGGAGGAGCTCGTCTCATGGGCAGGTGCAGCCAACCTGTATACTGCCTGGGATTGCCCTCTGCCCGGGGGCATGGGACAAAAGTAAGGCCTGGATCACATTATGCCAGCTGAGAACTGGGGTCAGTGGGTGATTTCAGGTTACCAGACAGTGTCAGAGCAAAGACAGTAAGAAGGATTGGCAGGGAGTGTCACCTGCCCCCTCCATGGGGTGGACCCACCCAGCAGCCCTCTTGGGTCAGGAGGGCATGATGCCAGGGTGCAAAGGGCCTGGCCCCCAGCAGCCCCTGAAAAGTGGTTCCAAAAGATGAAAAACAGATGGGCCAGAGCCAGTCTTGGAACACAAACACCAGTATATTTTATGTGCACAAATGTGAAAAGGAAGAGACAGAGGGACCAATGGAGACACAGAGCAGGCCATGGGCGCACAAACCGTCGTGTGTCCTTCTCAAGAGCTGCCCAGCTGAGAGATGGTCCCACCCACTTCAAAGGCCCTTTAGCAGAGCTGGCACCTGCAGCTTCTCCAGGTCTGGGTGGCCCCAGGGTGGAAGGCATGCTCCCTGTCATGGCTCCTCTAAGGGCTGGGCCTCTCACCTGTCTGCATCCCAGGGTAATGCCTGCATAGTCCAGGGCTTCGTAAATGCAGGTTCTCATGAACTGACCCATTCAGCAGCTGCCTCCCCAAGAGACCCATGCAGAGTGAGGGACCAGGACAAAAGGGCCTCATGGGCACTCCCTCGGTATTATTGCTGTGAATAAGCTAGGCCATTGTGACTCACTGGCATTGAAGAGGGGACAGGGCACATGGGACAGGATGCCTCGCAGACATCAGAAGCAGTTCAACCATGCAGGGCAGCACATTGCAATCTGTAATCAGAGATGCTGCCATGTCCAGTGGAGAGAGGCCCAGGACACCAGAGGTTCACAAACAGCAGGCAAACACTCCCCACCAGCACCCTTAATGCTTGGCAGGGCTGGGATTATTCCAAACTTTGAGTCCCTGGGCACTAAGGGATTGGGGCCCTGATACCCAGAAAAGCAAGAGTTGAAGTCTGGGCTATCCCTGGTGAGATTTGAACCCATAGATCCTGTGGTCAGGTCATGGGTTGTTGTCTTCCTTTGCTGGAGGTTTGATGCCCTATGAAGGGCAGTTGGAGCAATGGGACACCTCGATGGAGCAGAAACACAATGCTGGATGTTGCCAGACACACAGGTGTACCCCAGGACCTCCTGCACTTGGGAGCTTATAGGACCCAGAGAGTAAATGGTGCCAGGGGATGCCCACAAGGCAACATCTGGAGCAGCAAGACCTGGTAGACCATTCAAGGGCTTGCTCTGGCTGAGAATAGCTGGTCACTGGACTCGGTTGTGGAATAGGGGTATAAAGACGGGTAGTGGGGTCTAGGAGCCCACATGGAAGGCCTGAAGGGGTGCTGGGAGACTGAGACAACATGGAGTTGGGGAGAGAACCAAGGAGACAACTGCCCAGAGAGAACAGGGAAGCCAGACAATATTCTCCTGGAATTTTCTCCACCTATAGATGGAAAACAATCTACTTTCACCAGAAGCCTGATTCTCTGTAACCCCCAAAGTCCTGGAATTGGGGCCAAAATACAATCAAAAGGAGGGCTGGCCCCTGAAGAAAGTAGCTAATCCCTGGATTTGAGGAGCCTGCCCAGGAAATAGGCTAGGAAATACCCTTCATTCTGCTCTGGACAGGGATAACTGCAGAAAATCCTGCCAAAGGCAGAATCTGCATGCTTTTCTCCAGACCTAGGACACAACTGTCGCCCACCCCACCACACCCTGCAACCTGGGTCGTGCTATCTGCACGGTTTGGGCAGGACAGCCAGCAGGGAAGAGGACATTCTCTCCACAAGTGTTATTGTCACTTTGTAACGATCCATAAAAAGGAAAAGGCTAATTTCTACCTAAGAGTCCTAGTGTGGTGAAGGAGAGACCATGTACCATGGGATGGGCCACTTTCTAATGGACCCTTCCCCTTGGGGAGTGAAGGTCAGAGCCAAGTAGGCTGGAGTATGTCACCCGTCCACTGCCAGCAATGGACCTGTCATTGGGCAAAGTGGGGCAGTGGAACCAAGGTACCAATGCCCATGAGTGTGGCAGGGTTAATACTGTTGAAGGAGTAAGCTCAAAGGGCCAGCCTTGCTGGGAGGAGTTTGGGGAGAGGGGCAGCCCTGAGGTTTTGCTACAGGGCTGGGGCTATGGCAGAACTAGAACTGATACCCTGCCACAAAGGAGGCTCCAAGAGCCTCTACAGCCACAAGGTTCTCCTCTCTTTCTTCTTCTCATTCTCCATCAGTCTCCAATGCTGGATACCTGGCTTCCCCATCCCATAGAAGCTAGACTGCTCAGTTCTGGCTTCAACATAAACCAGCCAGGGAATAGATGACCTAGAACTCTGCCTTTTCCCTACCAAACTGACTTGCCTCTAGGTCCCCATTGTGGATCCACAGGGCCTATCCCAGCCTGCCTGTGCATTGGAGGGCATCATTTGTTCTCAGCTGGGCCGCTATGACAAGGGAGCACTGCCACGGCCCACTAGACCGGGGCAGGGAGGCGCAACTCAGGAACTCCCCAGGCATCAGGCCAGCGGGAACAGTGGAGGGAAAGCTGCAGGGGGTGGGAGTTGGGGGTGTCTCAGGGCTCCATCTCCAGCTCCTGTGCTGCCTAGGGAGCTGGGGTGGGGCAGGTGTGGTGACTGACATGGATAAAGAGCCGCTAATTGTAAAGGCCTTGAACACAAGCGAGTAAAGGGGGAAACGCCACCGAACACACGGGGATTGAAACTTCCAAAAGCCCAAGGTTGGTGGGAATCCAGCACCACGGGGGCCCCAGAAGGCCAAGGGAGCAGCGCAGGGCCCTGGGGGAGGGGAGAGGAGCCAAGGAAGGGTCTCCCAGCCCTTGCAGACCAGCGTTGCGGCCACGCAGCCTCCTGGCTGCCCAGTCTCTCCTCCGCTGCAGCTCAGCAGGCCCCTGGGGAGGTATTGGTTGCAAGCAAGCACCTGAATATTGCCTAATGGAACCAGCCAAAGCCCAACTAAATCCAGAGGGGAGGGAAGGAGGTCAGGCCTTGCCTCCCACCTGCAGCCCCATTCTCATCGTCCCTTAGCCAGGACAGGGCCTGCTGCTTCCAAAGTCAACTACATAGTCCATCGCTGCTCAGCCACAGGCCTCCCGGCACCAGCCTCTGAGCTGGGCCAGGATCCGTGGACCCTTCCAAATGTCCCTCTGCGACCTCCACACCCCATCCCCCAACACCTGACCCCCGCCCCCCGTGGAGATTAGGGGGCTGTGTGTGCCCTACACGGGTGAGGCCTGGCCGAGGCAGGGCTTGTGCGGCATGGATGGGGCAACCTCACCAGCTTGGTCTCTTGGTCCATGAGTTCCATGAGAGATCCCCAGGCCCCCCACCCGCTCCCTACTCAGTCAGTCTTGACGTGGCCGTTGGCCAGAGCTAGGGCGCCACTGGGCTCCCCGGGCTCGGCGTCCTTGTCAAAGCGGAGGCGGAGGGTGTTGCGGATGATGAACTGCTCCATGATGAGGGCCCCGCAGAACCAGGGCACGGCGTACTCCAGGGTGATGAGGCCCATGAAGTCAAAGTCGAACTGGGAGTAGTCCCAGGGGCAGGCGTTGAACTGGCGCAGGATGAAGCCGGTGGTGAACTCCCACAGGTAGGTCCAGAGCGTGTAGATGAGGCAGCGCAGGAGCAGCGGGCAGCGGCCGCGCAGCCGCAGGTACATGCGCTCCACGATGAGTATGGAGGTGCCGTAGATGAAGAGGGCCCACACGCTCGTGACCCCTGGGAACTTCCAGTTCAAGTTCACCACGAACTCCCAGGCCGCCGTGAACATCACCTCGCAGAAGTAGCCGTGGATGGCGTACAGGTACCAGCGGGACAGCGCCGTCAGGGGCTCGGCAGACGCCATGGCGCCGACTGGGGCCGGCTGCGGGTGGGCACAAGAGAGACAGGTGAGGGCCTGATGCGGTGGCTCACGCCTGTAATCCCAGCACTTTGGGAAGCTGAGGCGGGCAGATTACTTGAGGTCAGGAGTTTGAGACCAGCCTGGTCAACATGGTGAAACCCCCTCTCTACTAAAAATACAAAAATTAGCCAGGTGTGGTGATGCATGCTTGTAATCCCAGCTACTTGGGAGGCTGAGGCAGGAGAATCACTTGAACCCACGAGGCAGAAGTTGCAGTGAGCCGAGGTGGTGCCATTGCACTCCAGGATGGGCAAGAGAGCAAGACTCCCTCTCAAAAAAAAAAAAAAAAAAAAAAAAAAAAGACCAGAAAAACCTACCTACCCCCCTGACTGCCTCTCCAATGCCACCCAAATGCTGCTTAGAGGGAGGTGTCTATACTCCCTACAGCTTTTTGGATTATCTGTGGTCAGTTGAAGAGTCTGCTGTCCTGGTCCACCAGTCCTCCCCATTTCCAGGCTACTTGCTGATTTCTCAGCAGGCCTATCCACTGGGGACCCCATTTCTTCCCCCGCTTCTCAAACAGTTCCACGTCACTCGTATTTCTGAGATGTAAGTGACCCATCACATTTGTCTCTGTGTGTGTGCATGCCATTTTTAAAACCATTTTTAAGTGTACAACTCAGTGGCAGTAAGTACATTCACATTGTTGTGCAACTATCACCAGCAACCATTTCCAGAATTTTTTCATTGTCCCAAACTGAAACTTGGTATCCATTAAATACAAACTCCCATTCCCCAAACCCCTGGCCCCTGGAAACCACCATTTTACTTTCTGTCTCTGTGAATTTGACTACTCTGGATGCTCCATATAAGTGGAATCATACAAACACTGTCCTTTTGTGACTGGCTTAGCATAACCGGCGTAGCTTTCCCTCAGTGTAACGTCATTAAATTTCATCCACGTTGCAGCACGTGTCGGCATTTCCTTCCTTTTAAAGGCTGAATCATACTCCATTGTATATAACACCATATTTTGTTTATCCTTTCATCCATTGATGGACACCTGGGTTGCTTCTACCTTTTGGCTACTGTGAATAAGGCCGCTGTGAACATGGGTGTACAAAGGTCTGTTTGAATCCCTGCTTTCAACTCTTTCAAGTACATACCCAGAAGTGGAAATGCTGGATCCATAGTTAACTTTCTGAGGAACTGCTGCACTGTTTTCCACAGTGGCCACAACCATTTTACATTCTCCATAAGCAATGCACGAGGCTTCCAATTTCTCCACATCCGCCCCAAATGCTAGTTATTTTCTGTTTTGTTTTTATAATGGCCATCCTAATGGGTGTGAGGTGGTTCTCTCATTGTGGTCACATTTGTCTTTGCTCCATTAAATGGGGTTTTAGTGTTTGGTTTCAGTGTTCAGGGGAAACCAATGGATTGACACAGGAAAGAGTCCTCCCCTGTCCTTCTGACTCCCTTCCCTTCCCCTCTTTGAAACCCCACCAGTCTTCAAGGCCTGCTCCCATGCTGCTTCTCTCGACTTTCTCCTCGCCTTCCACCAGCAACTGTCTGCACCACTCATCTGGCCCATTATCAGGTGCCACCCCAATGGATTTTTGAGGAACGTGCCCTCATGATCCAACTAGCCTGTGAACTCCTTGAGGACAGTGACCGTTGCACAGGCTGGTGCTTTGTGGCCTTGACACAGGCCTCTCCTGAGCAGGCCCTCTCTAAATGACATGTCCTGTCATGTAAAGAGTGGCGTGGGACTGCATCAAGAATGGGAAGGTAGGGCTTGAGAACATAAATCCCAGCTCTGCCAGCCTCCAGAGGGTTCACATCTCTGTCCATCCCCTCTCCAAGGTGGGAGAAGAGACCGAGGTTAAGGACATGAATCTGCAGTATGGACACCTGTCTGGGAATCCCAGCCTCACATTTCAGCTGAAGCAGTCCCAGTCACATTAATACCTACCTATCCTTGTGCATTGCTGTGTGGTCTTCCAAGAACTTCATTCATATTTTGTCATGTTTCTTACATAATTAAGATTCATATGAATGTCAGATAACTTTATTCCCATTTTTTTGGAGTGAGACAGTTGGAGTTCAGAGAGCAGACATCATTTGCCCCATATCCCAGGACCAGTAAATGACTTAGACTAGAACCAATATCTCTTGCTTTCTACTTCAAAATTTACCCCACTGCACATGACTGCCCGTCTCTTAGACATATGTACTGAATGCCACTCCCCTGCTCAAAAACACTCGATAGCTCCCTATTTCCTAATGAAACACAACAGCTTCCTTGGCCTGCCATTCAAGATTCTTCATGACCTCGCCCCGATTGACTCTTCAGCCTTCTCCTCACAATCCAGCTCTTCCTGTCTTTCATCTCCATGCCTTTGCAGGTCCTGTTCATTCTGTGGGGTGTGCCTTTCTCCTCTCAATTCCGTGAGTATAAACCAGCTTACAGATTACCTTCAGAACAAAATCTCTTTCATCTTCCCAGGTCCCAAGTCCTCTCTTCCTCCTCTGAATTTCTACTGCAGTTACTCTGTCTCACTCCCTTTGGTACAGGTTATCTTCTATTATGTTATGTTGAGAATTTTAGTCCCCAGCCAGACCTCTTTCCTGTGTGCTGCACGTACAGCTTACACTCTACCCTAGGCAGCTCCCACTAATGTCCCACAAACTCATGGGCAGGTGTAGTGGCTCATGCCTTAATCCTAGAATTTTGGGAGACCGAGGCAGGAGGATCGCTCAAGCCCAGAACTCTTGAGTTTGAGACCAGCCTAGGCAGTGCAGTGAGACCCTGTCTCTAAAAAATAAATAAAATCAAACCCATTATCTTTTCACCAAAACCTGTTTCCATCCTAAGACCCGCACCCCAATTAATGGTACCACCATGCACCCAGTTAGAACCAGAGGCCTCAAAGTCACTCTGGCTTCCTCTGCGACACCCCCACCCTAACATGAGCTCCTGAAAGTGACGGTCTTGCCTGCCTGATTCAGCACAGTATTCTCAGTGCCTGACACAAAGCCCAGCACACAGAAAGCATTCAAGACAAGAATAAAGGCATTTCTTAGTTAGCAGTTGATATATAACAAATCATCCCCAAAACCCTGGCCTAAAACAAATACCATCTACTATTACAGCTCACGTGTCCGTGGTTGGCAGACGGCTGGGGCAATGTAGCTCCACTCCACCTGTCTCTCATCCTCCTCTGGGGCCCAAAGGACTTGCCTGGACATATTCTTCTCATGGCAAGGGCAGAGGCACAAAGGTGAGCAAGCCTAGCTGCACAAGTGTGACTCAAGACCCTGGTTAAGGCATGCCCACCACCATCCCACTGGCTAAGGGAAAGCCACCAAGTCAGCCACTAACACCCGCCCTTTCTACCTCTTACATATCTTTGGGATCTATCCTCTCCTCTTCATTCCTCTTCTTGTTGCTACCACTGCTGTGGTTCAGGCACTCATCATGTCTCACCTGGATGACTCCAAAGGTCTCCCAGCTTTGCCTTCTTCCTTCTAATTCACTCATCACAGGACGAAAGAGTGTATAGAAAAAAACGCAACCTTTCTAAAATACAAATCCAACGTTTCTTGCCACTTAAAGCCTGTGAGTGGATCTTCAACATCTACAGGGTAAATAAAGCTCAAACCCCTGGGGACAGCTGGCAAAGCCCTTGACAACTTGTCTCTGCCTCCGATCCTGTCCTCCAGATCTCCACCTTGCTATTTTTGCTACCTGGGCCCCTCTCAGGACTGGTGAACCCATAATCCTCCTTTAAGACCCAGCTCTTCCTCTGTGAGGACTTTCCTAAGCACCCTGACTCCAGAGCTGTCTGTTGACTTCTGCACCCTCCCTTCTCTGTGGTGACAGTGAGCACTCTCCTTTGCTGGATTCATCTGAAGGCCAGCACCGGCAGCCTCCTGAGGAATGCTTGTTTAATAAGAGGTAAGAGAAAAAAGCAGGATTCAAAACTGAATATTCAACCTAACTTCGATTCTGCAAAGCCATGCATACGTGCACATATACAAAAAAATCAAACAATCATCTCTGGATGGTGATATCATTGATTTTTTGAATATTTTTCATCGTACTCTTTTTTCCTAACAAGCATGTATAACTTTTATAAAACTAAAATTTCACTTAAAATTGCTTGTGAAATGAATACATATTCACCGCGTTCATACCTCATATATAGAAGGTGTTCAATGAATTTGCTAAGCAAATGAACCCGAAGAAACCCGAAGTCATGCAAAATTAATGCAGGTTCTTCCCTCCTGGGTCTTCCAACAACAAACCATGCCTCACAGGTCTGAATAGGGCCAGCTGGTTAAGCTCAGGGGCCCCAGATGATTCTAACTGCCTGGGTTGGAATCCTGACTGATGCTTTCCACCTGTGGGACCTAATGGAGGCTACTCGACCACCCTGTGCCTCAGGGTCCTTGTAGGTAAAGTGAGGATCATGAAAGTAACGACCACAGAATGCTGTTGTGAGGATGAATGAGCCAGTGCATATATGCCACTTAGAACACAGCCAAGGCTCCAGAAGGGGCAGCTGTCATTTCCGGCACAGAGCCAGGCTTCTAGACAGCCCTTCCTGCTTTTATGCCGCCTCCTACCTGATGCAGGGTGGCTGTGCCTCTGCTCTTGGCAGTCTCTAGGAAAGCCCTTCCTGTCCAGCAGGTTAGGTCTTCATCCCCACCCTGAGCACCAAGCTAGGGAGCCAAGAAATCCAGTGGCAACAATATTCCCACATACAGCCCTCAGGAGAACAAAACTCCCACAGACAGCCCGAGAGAGTGAACCTGAGCCTCCAGCTTCCCTGTGGCTACTGAGGGATGAATGGAAGAGGAAGGGTCTCAGAGCCAGCCCGAGGGGGAGGCTTGAAAAGTGGGTAGACTGAAAGAGTCACAGCCTGTCACCCCCTCATTTTATCCTATGCCTCCCACCGCCAGGCAGGAGAGAACAGACCCAGGCTCCAGGGGAGCACACTGAGGCAGGCTGACGG